AACAAAAATTGGTACAGAAACAAGTTTTATCTTCAGATCAGTAAAGGCATTGAGGTAGTCATCACGAATAGTTGATTTTGTTGAAGCAACATACACAAAGGCTTTGAAATCTTCAAAAAATCCTTGATAAAACACCTATAGAATCATGCATCCCCTAGGAAACTTCTGATTCCCTTCACAGTGGTAGATGGAGGCAGATTCTCAATTACTTCCACCTTGGATTTATCAACCTCGATGCCTTGGTGAGAAATTTTGTGTCCCAACACAATTACTTCTATCACCATAAAGTGACATTTCTTCCAATTTAGCACAAGGATGGTTTCCTCACACCGTTTCAGTACTTTAGATAGATTGCCTAGGCATCGGTCAAAGTCATCACCCGAGATAAAAAAATATCCATAAATATCTCCATGAAGTCCTCTACCATGTCTGAAAAAATTGCTAGCGTGTATCCATGAAACGTTGTCGGGGCATTACATAGGCCAAACGACATTCTCTAAAAGGCATAGGTGTCATATGGGTAGGTGAAAGTGGTATTCTCCTGATCTTTAGGTGCTATGGAAATCTAATTATACCCCGAATAACCGATCAAGCATCTGATCAATGAAAGAAAGGGGAAATGGTCTTTCTTTGTTGCCTTGTTAATCTTTCTATAATCCATACAAATCTGCCAGCCTATGACGGTTTGTGTATCAAAAGCTCATCATTTTTGTTCTTTACCACGGTCATGCCACCCTTCTTTGGCACTTATTGAATCGGACTGACCCAAGAGCTATCGAATATAGGATATATCACCTCAGTATCAAGCCATTTGATGATTTCCTTCATCAACACTTTTTTCATTATTGAATTAAGTCTCTTTTGGGGTTCCATTGAATTACTATGACACTCGTCTAGTTAGATCTTGTGTATGCATATTATAGGGTTGATTCCCTTCAAGCTCCACCCGAGAGTTTTTTGTGCTGTGAAAAAACATTCAACAAAATACCCTCATTTGTTCAATCTTCAGTAAATCCTAAGTTTTCCTCAATTGGAAAAAAATTCATGGGCAAATAGTTTTGCCTCCCTTATTTTGAAAAAATTCGCCTGGGCCAAAATTATTGTTTCTCTATGGCTGTAAAATATCGTTGGGTCAAAATATTTTACTCTCCTGTATCTTAGCAATGTTATCTTTGTACAGAGTATCATACTCATCTAGATGTAAAATTTTACCTTTACCAAAAAAATTCATCCCTTCTTCTTCATGTGGCTCCATGTCTCCAATGCAATGAAATTCTTCAGAATCATCTTGATATTTAAAAGTGTTGATATTTAAAAGTGTTGAAGTCATTGTTAGTGACACTTTGATCAACCACCCTCATTGTAAACTCTCCCTTCACGTAATTTATTAAAATGCACCCAGTGGCTAAGAAGAGAAGCCCAAGAATAGTAGGTGCATTTTTATCGGTCACACAGTCTAAAATAAGAAAATCTATTGGAAAGACAAACTTGTCCACTTTAACTATCACATCTTTAATTTTTCCCTCAGGACAAACATGTAATCGGTCAGCCAGCTACAAAATCACGGTGGTTAGTCGAGCATTACCCATTTAAAGTTTAAAAAATATGGACTTGGGCATCATGTTTACGCTTGACCCCAAGTCACAAAGGGCTCTCCCAACATACTTATCACTGATGGAGCATGGTATAACAAAGTTGCCATGATCTTTTTGCTTTAGCAGAAGTTTAGTCAATGCCGAACAATATTCTGTCACTATGGCAACATTTTCTATTCTTTCCACCTTTGTCTTTTTCGTGAAAATGTCCTTCAAGAATTTAGCATAGGAAGGCATCTGATCAATAGCTTCGAGCAGTGGAACATTGATATACAGCTTATCCAGGACATCAACAAACTTTTTGAACTGGATCTCGTCATTATGCTTCTTCAACCGTTGTGGGAATAGTAATGGGGCCTAATTTCATCTACTGTAGCTTGGGGTAAAACTCTTACCTTAGAAATAAATTTTCCTCCATTGGGTTGACTTGTTGAGCCCTCGTCCTTTTCCTTCTCCTCAAACAAATCTTCTCGTTCAACATGTTCATCTTGACCTTCTGGTTCTTCCTGTGTAGTTCCTTGGTGAGAAATTTCTTACTTCTTTCCCCCAAACTTATCATCAAGATTAATTTGGGTATCACTCCTAAGTGTAAGCGCACTGCACTAATCCTTTCTATGAGGCTTAGTGACCTCAGTATCACTAGAAAGACTTCCTTGTGGCCGAAAATGTATTGCCGTGGCAACTTGTCCTACTTGATTCTCCAACGTTCTCAATGATGACCTATGGCTTTGTAACAAAGCACCTTGATTCTTGATTGTCAATGAGTGTTCATGTATCAAGGTCTTTGTTGAAGCCATGAAATCTTTTACCGAGGCCATAAATTCCTACAGTGAAGCTCCGAGGGAGTTAGAATTTGAGGAAGATGTATTACCTTTATTGTTATTTTGATAGGGCATTTGTTGATACTTAAAACTTGAAGGTTCATAAAAATTTTGTTATGGCCTAATAAAATTGCCTTCATGGTTGTTGTTGTTCCCTTGATTACCCTAAGAAAAATTTGGATGTTGTCACCATCCAGGATTGTAAGTATTAGAGTAGGGTTTGTTGTTGCTTCTATTAAAATTGCTCACAAAATTGACGGACTCCTGGTTTTCTGGGCATTTAATCTCATGATGGTTGATGTGACAAAGAATGCATGCTAAGTTAGTTGCCTTGACTTTTTTCACCTCACTTGAACGCTGCAAATTTTTCAGCATGTTAGTTATGATAGAAAGTTTAGTGGAAACTGAATTACCGTCAAGTTCATACACTCCAGATATTTTCCTGCCAGTTCCAAGCCTTGTAGACGGGAATTGATATTCGTTGTTCGCTATCCAATCAAGGATATCAAAGGCTTCCTCGGGTGATTTGTCAAGAAAAGTGACATTCATCGAAGCAACCAACATCATGCGAGTAGGTGTGTTAACTCCATTATAGAACATGATGACTTGAGTCCAGTCATGGAATCCATGGTTGGTGCATTTATTAAGAAAACATTTATATATGTCCCATCACTCATACGTAAATTCATCATCACCATGGCGAAAACTTGAAATGTCATTGCAGAGCATGGTGTGCATATTGGGCAGGTTATATCGAAGCAGAAAAGTTTTGCATAAGTTAGCCCAAGATTTCATTAAGCTTGATGAGACTCCACTTAGCCAAACTCTTACTCGATTGCCCAAAGAGTAAAGGAATAATTTTAGCTTCAACACGTCCTCATGCACGCCTTGTTACGAAAAAGAGTCAAACTTCAAGGAAAGCACATACATGCTGTCTAGCATCTTTATTAGGTAAGCCTCCAAACTAACCGATAGAATTGAGCTTGTTGAACATTACCAGTTTGAGTTCAAAGTGGACTGCATGTATTTACGGTGCCACGATTCCAGGGTTGAGATCATCGAGAATATGATTTAAGTGATCTCGTATAGCTCGTGGTCTTGCAGTATTTTGGGGAATATTATTTGTCGCAACATCGGGATCTGCCTGATCTTCCATAGGGTTATCAGCTTGAAATTATAGTTGATTCATATAGCCTCTAGCACGCTAAATATTATATATAAGCAATCCATTTGCATACAATATATTCACATTAAGTTATCAAAAATATTGTAATAATATGTCGATACAAAATGTCATGACATCAAAGCCTTGAGCAGAGAAAACAGATAATGTGTCATGACATCAAGTAGGTCAAATACATACATTATAAAGATTCAAAATGTAACGATGAGGTTGTTCATCTGCACCCAACCAAAGGAACACCGGTCTAGAATTCTTTGAACTGTGTTTGCAGCCAAACCAACCACTGGTCAAACCTTACCCAACTCTTTCTCAACTGCTATCCTCGCACTTATCTCCATCTACATACAACCAAAAAACAAAAGCTTAGATACCCTACTAATTCGCAACCTGCAAATATTCAACAGTTATTGCCCTAAACATCCGTTGTAAACCAAAAATAAACAACATTCTCTACGCAGTGTGTGGTGACCAAGAGATGACAGAAATAATCTAGTTGCTTGTAAATATATGCTTCCATATACTACATATTACATGGAAAAATAAATGGTAGTTTAAACATAAAGAGCTCGTTATGGGGCAAAAAATGTTTAAAGGATTATCATGAAACCTTTCTCACAAGACGCCCATTACAGCATGGATAGTTTGGACAAACCATTCCTTTTTCAGAATCACCAATCAGCCGTAGGTTGACACTTCGTGTAGTATGTTTGCAAGTTTCATCGTCACACTGAAAGCAAAGTCAAACATTCCATCAACTCTAATTACTGCTCAACTCGAGTTTTTTATGTTGTATATTCGAGATTTTGCAAATGGTCTATTACCTTCATTAAGCCTTTTTAGTACATTGAAATAAACTCCTCCACTTGTCGTTTGACCTAACAGAGGACAAAGCACATCCTTTAGTTATTACGACTGTATATTGCATGCAATGTGTCATCTTCTAACATGTTAGGATGACCCGACAATCAATCAATCAATGTATGTCATGTTAGAGCAACATTCAAGTAAAAAAATCAACAAATACCTGGTTTGCTATCATTCCAGGAGACATTCTACCCATGTCACCTTCTTCTGGACATTTGGGGCAGCGCAGCGTTCACCAGAAATTGCTCGTAGATTCCTCTTGTTGCATTTTTTCTGGTTTCTCAACTACCACGCGGATTGAGCTGAATACAGCAGGGCAGTTAAAAGCGCCTGAACAACTTGGAAATGACAATGTCAGTGGCTCACATCCCTGATACCTGCGACACAAACCAATACATACATTATTTCATGGAAGAAGTACATCCATTGTCACTATACTCAATTAGTCAATTTCAATGAGATTTTTTATATATGATCTGGGATGATAAACAATAGAATTCAGCTATGACAAGTAATAATCAATATCAATCATTTATCTCCCTCATCTTTTTTCAACTCATCAGGATGACTAGCTCGGTATGCTATCCCCGTTGAATTGCTTGAACTAGACCCCTATCCAAGATAGAACAAAATGAGAAAAGGAATGGAAATCAAATTGAGATGAACTATAATAGAAGGGTCTGAATGCAGTCAATACTCAAAGTTCATATATATTTCTTAAAGAAATTGAAGCACAAACCTGTTCACAACAAATTATATATGGAATAGTATCACCAGCCGAGCATCCAGTAGAATAACCACTTTGCTTCATTCTGAGGGCCACCTATAAATTGGTTCAAGTAATATCCATCTAATGATTAGATACATGGTAGGGGAAATTATACAAGATTAGAGAGTAATAATGCATGAAAGACTAGTTATTGTTTGTTGAATTCACCTGAACATGAGGTTGGTTTTTGGCATCAGGGTATGCTTTAGGTGGTTTAGTCAATGTCTTTGTGATAATGTACTTCTCAAGTACTACTTGTCCATTGCACATTTCCTCTTGGACCTATTACAAGTAAACAAGTCAATTATATGATAGCAGTCTAAGTATACTTCAAATTACAAAGAAGTTTAAACGAATGATGACTGTAATAAACCATAAGCAGTAGCACCTTGAAATATTTTTATTGGCGAATGATTCCAAGGACCTAAGGCTTTCATTCAAGCACCAACCAAAAGAACAAAATAAAAATAGAACGAACGAATTATAAGTATCTATTAACCTTCATGAGATAGTTATGTAGTGATTCAACAACATCCTCACAAGACCTGTGAAATAGGACCCATTATGACAAATGCTCAGTGACCAAGTACCGCAGATATTGCCAACATGACATAAAAAATAACACAACTTAAAATTAAAAAATAAATAGAATATCACATACCCTCCGACAGGATCTGATTGAGACAGAAGTCACCTAATTCCTTTGACAATAAGCTCCAGTCACGACGAACCATATCAAGACCTTTCCGCTCAATAACCTATAACTAAAAGGTTATCTCTCCAATTCTTTTAGGAGTCAATGTGAATGAAAATGTATTTAAAAAATCAACAATGGCTCATATGGTATCCCATCCTTGAATTACACCTTCACAGCGACATATTTTTTCTTTTTCAGAAGCAATATTCTCTTGTACATGCCATCAAGGTTGATTTCTATGCACCTATATTTCTTGTTCACCTTGAAATAAAGAGATAGAAAAGTCATTTTGTAGAAGGTAACAAAAAGAAGAGTTTAAATTCAAAATGAAAAATGCATGGCACATTAATCTATAGATTTAAAATGAGGAAATCAAAATTTTGAATGGTGGCAACAATTCCATAAAATTCTAAGGACTATAACAGAACGGCCTATACAGTAATAATTAATGGAGCTATTTATAGGTTTGAGGAATAAACCCTTGCAACAAATCTTATCAATGGCATACCTAGCAACATTCAATGTACTTGCATCACATTACAAGCACATCACAGAAACAAATCACATTCTCAAAACCTTACCTCCTGGATGACTTTTCCTGCAATTGCTTTTGCAATGTCATCCAATCCACTATAAACCATAATAGAATATGTATCACCATATCACCTACCAATTACCAAAAATCCTATCTTCAGGGGTATAATTCATTAGCATAGACATGATATTGGCACTTCATGAAGTCTGAATATCAAAGCCTAGCCATAATAAACATACCTCCAAGTTTAAATTATTCTGAATAAGATCAACAATACTTTGTAATAATAAGACTAATAAGGGTGCCTAATTGTTTTGGGGAAAGAGCACCAATACGTAACCATGGGCTCAAAACAGGGTGTTGTAGAAGGTTAAACTTGCTTAAAAATTCAGGTCCATGTCAATAGTAGAAATTCTATGAAAAACAAAAATTATATTACATAATTAAAAAGACAGGATAATAAAAAAAGAAAGGCAACAATTATGCTAAATGATGCCAACTGCCGACCATGTGTAGACACTCATTTCCGTCCATATTTTTATTATTGTATATATATATATATTATATAGTTTGCAAACGATTTGAAAATACGTATATAATATATAGTTTCTAAAAACATTTTAAAAATGTATATAATATATGGTTTTTAAAACACTTGAAAACTGTATAATATATAGTTTTTAAAATATTTTAGGAAAATATATAATATATAGTTTTTAAAATCATTTTTGGAAAACTTATATAATATATAGTTTTTAAAAACATTTTTTGAAATTTATATAATATATAGTATTTAAAAACATTTTTGAAAACTTATATAAAATTTAATTTTTGAAAACATTTTTTGAAAATCATATAGTTTTTAAAAAAGTATTTTTTGAAAATTATATAGTTTTTAAAAAACATTTTTGAAAAATTATATATAATATGTAGTTTTTAAAAAAGACACGTTTTAAAAAAAATTATATTACATAGTTTTTTTAATATAATTATTTATTTATTATTATTTATTTATTATTTATTATTGTTATTTATTATTATTTATTATTATTATTTCTTATTATTTTTTATCCATTTATTTTTTTGTTCAGGGTCTAAAATAAGGTCCAAGATAACTGGGCCTGAAATAGCCCAAAAGTCCTACGAAAGGGTCTAGTAACCAGATGATGTTTAGGGTTTGAAAACCCTAAAGTCAAGGCACCGCACAACAAGGTCAAGGGTCACGCGAAATGGCCGGACGTCGGCCGAGGATCCCGGGACTAAACCATCCCGGGATTTCAGTAGCAATGCCCCAAGCAAAACGGAACAACCCGGGGTACTGGTTCACCGAGCAGGGTATAAATACCCCGGGGACTCAACGATCAGAGGGGATCATCAACAGTAAACTGAGAGTTCAAACCAACAACGAGTAAAAACAAATCCAGCAAACCTTAAATTGAGGCCAAAACCACAACCAAATAACACCGAGAAATACAAATAGCCAACAAGAACACCATCACAGAGAGACCACACAATACCCAAAACACCATCAACATAACAACATCGACCAATAGTAAGACCGAGGACATCACCAACACAATACACAGAACCCACGGCCAACAAGAGCAACAACAGAGCATAAAAAGAAACCAAAGGCGAAGTCTTTTCTCACCAAAACCAACAAAGAACATCATCGGAGGAAAGGCGCCGGAAAGTGAAGCGTTTCCCTCAAAAAGGTGAAAACCCGAGGCTTGCATGTTAGATCTACGCTGAGTATGAGTTTTTCTGGGAGTTTGAGGGTTATTTTCTGAGTCACGGTGTGGAGAGGGTCTATTTAGGTTGAGTGGGGGCATTTTCCGGACGCCGTCTCCGGCGACCGATGCGTTTGCCGGCGCGGAGGAGTGGCCACTTGACAGTGGCCGGGTTACTACCGGATTAGAGAGAGATGATAGAAATTTCTTTCTCTCATTTTGTAGAGAGAGACCGAAAATGTAAAAATGAGAGAGCTTTGGCCTTAAACGCCGGTTGGGAGATATAAATACCCTCCCCAAAAAGACGTAGTTTTGGGGAGGAGTCGATATGTAATTTTAAAATATGGTAAACCCCTTTTTAGGGCCTGTAACTCTCAGATTTTACATTTCAGTCACTGAAATCAATTTTTGATATTTTTAATTTTGATTTCCAATTTTATGCATGTTTAATTTGGTCACATGTTTTAATTTCACCTTTGTATTTTCAATTCATTTAATTTAGTCCTTTTAATTTTTCAACTGTACATTGTCTCGATTTATTTATTATCATTTCTTTAATCTTTTTAATTTATATATATATATATATATATATGTGTGTGTGTGTGTATATTTGTTTTATTTCGTTTTTTCTTTTTTATTTATTTATTCTGCATTTGTTTTCCTTTTGATTTATCTTTTGATTTCCTTTTTATTTTTTCCTTTCTATTTCTATTTTTACTTTTTCTTTTCCTTTCTTTTGATTTACTTAATATATATTTTTTTATCTTATTTTCTCTTTTGATTTATTTAATTATTATTATTGTTTTCTTTTGTTTTTATCTTATTTTGTTCTTATGATTTTTTATTTATTTAAATATTTTTTCTAACATTTTCAGCCCCTTTTTTAGAAGAATTCCTATCAATGGTAAGTAATTCGAATCGAATGTTTTAAATTTTAATTTAATTTTTAATTTTCGCAACTAAGACAACCGACAATATAATTGGTACCGAAAGGGAGGTTCCAGGGTGCTAATCCTTCCTTGACTGTAACCGACTCCCGAACCCGACACGTTTCTTGTACAACACAGATCAGGTAAGATGGTGTCCGACCCACCTAAATTTGTTTTAAAATGGTCGGTGGCGACTCTAACCCAATTCATTCAAGTCGAAGCCCAATTCCAGGGCCCAATCGAAAGACGGTTCCAACAACTTGGCGACTCTGCTGGGGACAGGTAAGTGAGTCAAGCCGAAATTAATTTTCGGTTGTCTTTTTTAGCGGAAGTTATAAATTTTAATTTTAATTTATTTATTCGATTCTAATTATTTACCTTTGATTATTTTTCAAGTAAATAGTTGTACTGATGTTTTTTAATGATTTTAGATTTTCCAAAATTGTCATCTCTAGCTCTATACCCGAGCTCTGAACCTTTTAAGTGGGGGTGAAAGCAACGCCTTCGTGTGAATTTATTCACCGTATGGGCCTAGAAAGTAACCTTCGGGATTCATATACCTTATGTCTTCGTGTGAATTTATTCTCCGTATGGGCATAAGGGAATGTTTCCTCTCGAGTTTAACTTAGTCCACATAAGCTTGTAATAGGCTTAGGACTAAGGGTCTGGCAAGCCCATGGGGGCACCGGCAAGGAGAACTCGAGTACCTTTTTTTAGAACCTAAACCGGGAGAGTACAGGGAATTAGAGCCCACCCCAAAACCTCATTCCAAACCCCATGCTATTTTGTTTCCTTCTTTATTTTCTGTTCAAAGCATGCGAATTAGACAAATATGTTGTTAGGATTTGTTTGAAATTAGCATGCGAGATAGAAATCATGTCCGGTAGGAATATTAAGCATGTTCGGGTAGATATCATGTGGGGTAGGACTTTTATTTTTCATGATTATTTTTTATTATTTTTACCTCACTAACTCTTTTTTTCCTCTTTCATTTTATTTTCATCACTTGCATCATTTAATAGAGGTGTTGATCCACCAAAAGCGTGTTTGCTAAACATGAATAATCTGTATTAATGGACAAAGGGGTTGTAATACAAGAGATGAAAATGTAGAGGATAGTGTACAATGAGACTATGTGTCACATTTAATCCAGAAGACGTGGTGTCCGCAATTGAAGAGTATATCACTATACTGCATTATAAAGGACTCAATGAACTGGGTCTACATCAAGCACAATGAAAGTCTATCTTTGAAGAACTGACTGGCAGAAGTTGCAGGGGAAAGATGAAGACCACTGATCTTAGGAGTCACTTCC